GTTAGGACAAAAGAGGACAAAAGAATTTTTTAGGGGGGGCAAAAAAAAATTTAAGAAGGGGCAAAAAAATTTTTTACTCTCTTATAATTTTTTTTTTAAAAAATGTTCTCCTATAAAAAAAATTTTTTTTTTTTGAGGGGGGGCAATTGCCCCCCCTAAGCTCTTCATAGTTCCGCCCGAGGGCGTTAGTATATTTTTTTTAAATGATAAGGGGTTAATTATAAATTATTGATTTCGATATGTAATTAAAACAATTATATTCTCTTTTAGCCAATGGGGCGATTCAACGTTTCACACCTAAGATGAGTTTAACACATTTTTTTTAGATTTACAACTATATCATATATTATTTTGTATTTATATATCTACCATCCAGATTTTTATGTTAACTCACATAACATTTAAAATATTAAATTATGTAAGAAAATCATTATATATATATAATTTAAATATTAAATATATTAGAATTGTATAAAAATAGGTATTAAAATCTTTTTGTTTAATAGTTGGAAAAACTAACAAACATGTAACAAAAGAAAAAATCTAAATTGTTGCGGGTGAGAATATATGCGGCAATAGAGTAAGAGAATAAAACGTCTTAGCAATATACATATATCCGCCACACAAATAGATATTTAAGAGAGAAAAATATTAGAAGTTCTATTACGTGAAAACTTAGAATCAGAGAAACCGCGGGGCTTAGCCCATATGAGAATATCCTACTAAGTTTGAATGAATTATAAAGCTTGATTCACCCATTTACTTGGAGATGATGAAATTACAATAGATTGTAGAATCGGGCAGAAGTCTGGTGATGGTCAACGAACGGGCAAAAATTCGGCGATGAGTGAAAGTTCGACAGTGGTCAGGAAGAACTCAGGCAGCGGTTGATGAACGGGCAAAGGTTTGACGGTGGTCGACAAACAAGCAGAGGTAAGTCGATGGTCGGAAAGATCTCTGGAGGTCGTCGGCAAAATGAAAGAAGTCTGACGGTTGTCGAGGACTCCGACGGTGGTCGGTGGAAAATAAGCTTCCAAATTCTTCCATTCTCTTTCTCCTTTCTTCTCCCCCTCTCATGTGAAGAATGAAGACATATTTATAGTTTTTTCAGAGTAACATTAATTGTAAATATGAGGATGCTCAAGGTCAAGATGGGAGTGATTTGAACGGACGGCTAATATTGATCCCATTGATCGTGGACCATTTATTAATTATTTGAATGTCTTAATGATATTAGAATTCGAGGAGCTTGGGCTCATTGGATTTGTCTCGTCGAGCCACTCGATTTGATTATAAGCATGTCACGTTTAGAATTCGTGTGGTAATCCAAATTATACTTTGGACCCTACAAATATGCTTTGGACCTTTGATTTTGGCTCATTTGGGCTTGAATTTGACTGATTTTGGTGTCGTTATGTTTGTCTTTCTAAGACGTTCAATTCGACTATAGGTTTGTTGAAATCGAAGTTTGGATGGCCCCATATTTAATTTTGGAAGCTTTCAATTCAATTTTGTCTCAAGATTCATGTTTGATCAAGACAAAATTATGATGATATATCACTTATATATAATAGCTATTATGAAGGAAAAAAATATAAATTAAGTGTTTTTTTTTATAATTATTTACATTAGTTAGTATCAGAGCCTCGTGAATGACGAACTTTAGAAGCTCACAACATGATGACGATCGGAGAAGTCAGCCGACAACCATACCGGTTGTTTGAACCCGCCCCAGCGAATCAATCAACCATGACAACCATACCATTGGACATATTCCCACACTCTCCTCGTCTAGCTGATCTCATATCCAAAGAATGTATCGGTTTCGACCCATCTCGCACCCCCAGGTACTCCAATGCTCGCTTGATTCACTACCTCACCCGTTAAGCCCGCATATGCGACTCTGACATCCCACTCTCCGCTAACCTGTGCCCAAACGTGCGCCCACTATTGTGTATCATGCTCTACCTACTCGTGCCTGGCCGTAAACTCTTCGCAGCATCCACGCGACTATCTGCTGCCCGCGCACGCACTGCCCTCGGCTCGCACGCCCCCATTCTCCCGGCCTCCCCTGCACGTCCGTGTTCGCACATCCGCACCCACATGTATGTCCGCACCCATGCGTCTCCCAACCCTCTTCCACAACCAACCTGCGGCCCGTCACTGCTTTACGCGACCCACAACCCCTGATTCAATCCATCCCGCACTCACACCTTGAATGTGAGACCCACCTTCGGCCCCCCGCACACGATTTCTTGATCAGATCCCGGCCCGATCCATTTGGTGTGAACCCTCCGTACGTGAATTCTTAAGTTACAAGGGGAAAATGATGCAAAACATCTTAATTTAGTTAGACCACGTATTAGAAATAGTATATCTCTTATTGTATGTGTTATATCATCAAAAAATTATCTTGATCGGGCACGAATCTGAAAGCAAAGATCAAGTGGGAAACTTCAAAAAGTAATTTCGGGATCATCTGAACTCTGATTTCAATAAACTTATAGTCAAACTGAGTGTCTTGGAAATACAAACCAACCGACACCAAATCCAACCAAACCCGAGCCCAAACGGGTTCAAATCAAGGGTTAGAAGCATTGTTGGATGGTTCAAACCACAATTTGGATTACCAAAAAGTTCCCAAACATATCATGCTTATAATCGAATCGAGCTGCTCGACGATACAAATCCAACGAGCCCAAGATCACCAAATTCCAACATCACTAAGACTATCAAATGTACATCGAACGGTCCATTATCCAGGGATTTAACATCAATCGTCCATCCAACCACTCCTCATTTACCCTTGATCTCTCATATATTTACGGGCCATGCCACTCAAAAAATATATAATAGACCCCTCATTTCTCTTGAAAGGGGTACCAAAGCAAGAAGAGAAGAAGAGAATGAAGAAGCTCCTCCCCGACCACAGCTTCAGTTTCGCCGGACCACTGCCTGACGTCGTTGCTTTGCATGATCACCACTAGAGGCCCTCACCCTCTCTGGACCACCGCTTGAGGCCCTCACCCTAGCCGGACCACCTCGTGAGGCCCACACCTTCGCCAGACCA